CCCTCACTTCCCCCGATGGCTCGGGGTAGGCTTGGGATATGTGGGCGGATGGCGTGCCAAATTTCACCCCCCTCAGCGAAGACACCCGGGGCAATCCGCCCCACCGCACCCCCTTCCTCCGCCCCTGCCCCCCTCACCCAGGACCTGGCGGGCATTGAGAATAGGAGAACAGAAAGCTCAGAGGCAGAAAGCACAGATCAGCCGACATAGGGATTTACTCGGAGCAACACCATTATCTAAGAGACAGCATTTCTACGACTCTCTCTGTGAATATTGAATAAAAGACCTTGGTAAGAGCTTCTTGTCTTTCCATTACAGGCAGACTGCCAGGAGGGAAGGAGGTCAGATTCCCTGTAGCCTGGCAGCCTCATAACCTGGAAGTAGCCCGGACCTCCTTAGACCTCAGAAAGGTCCTGGGTTAGCCAGATAGCGACTTGCTCAAGGCCACCCAGAAAGCTTTGTGGCTTAGTGGGAATTTGAACCCAGAGTCCCCTTAGGTGTGAAATGGGGAGGAAGGGAGTATTTGCATTTAGACAGATTTCCTTGCCTGAGTCAAACACCCCTTATTTTCGGCATCACACAGGATGCGACGAATTAGCCCCTGGTCATAACTGGCTAACATCAACAGAAGCATTTTTAAATTTCTTATTTACTGGCTGCTTCACTTCCAGCCGTTACTTGGTAAGAATTCACTTCTGCACCATTTTGTACACCCCCTTGTACATTACTTGGGGGGGGGGATACAAATAAATAATTAATTCAGCTTGTAAACTTCTCGAATTTGTTTTCCTCTAACAAACTGCATTCTGTAGCTCTTAGATACATGGGCGTAGCCAGGATTTATGTTTTTTTTGGTGGGGAGAGCAGGACACCCCCCTGTCAATATTGTCAACATTCTGTGTCTGGCTCTGTCTAGAAGATTCAGAATGAAATGTCTCAGCCACAGTTGTTTTAAATTGCTTTCTTTTGACCCCAAGTGCTCAGGAAAATCTGTCAAAAATTTTCTAAGATTTCTATTTTTTGATAAGTTTTTTTTAAAAATATATATTTATTTTTTGGGGGGAGGGGTCAGTTTTTCCCCTGGCTTATGCCCATGTCTAGATATGATGAGAGGACAATAAAATAAAATATTTCTTCTTTCCATCTTACTTTTAGGAGAAATACTCAAGGCAGGAATGAACATGAGCATGATACACTTCCTTATGTATAGCTTGCTGGATTGTTTATTAGTTTTCCCTTCACCTTCTTACTTTGTTCTTCTGCTTTTTGCATCTTAATTACCAGGCTATGAAGTATCTGGAGAGAATGTCTTTAATTTATTTCCCCCCTTTGATTCTTCTCAGGGCAATCACATGCTCTAAGAAATGAAGGATAACAATAACAGTATACTTTTATCTGCCTGCAGGCATAAGGTTTGCAATGGGAGTACTGCTCGCGCAGCAAAATGTTATGGTGCTAGAATAATGTCTTAAAACTGTGTGATATTAATAATGACTCATCATTAGTACCGGTGAGGAACTGCCGGTATTAAAAACAGCTTTTTGCAAACAATGCCTTCCTTTCCATAGCTGGGAGTCATCAAACTCTCCATTGCACAGCTGAAGGCCCATCTTCCCAAATAATGTAGAAGTTAAGAAATCTGCTGTGAATTGCTTGCGCTTCCCCTGAAAGCTGTATATAAGGGTCTATGTTAAGAACTTAGATGAGGTTACAAAAAATAATTGCAGCCAAGAAAACCTGCCCCCCTTTTTTTTAAGGCTAAATTTTGGGCTGACATTGATTTTGGTTGCAAATGGACCAAACTCTGCTTATTTCTGCCATACATCCTAGTTTTCCTGAACATGTCCAGGAATCGGGCAGGCGGATTTTCGCTGAATCGCCAAAATGTTTCGGGAAAATGCAGACTTATGGCAAGCAGGGCAAGCAAAATAAAATTATCTTGAGATATATCTGTCGTTGCTTCAATGTCGGGGCATTTTTAATCAGACATGTTTAAAGAAGAAATTGAAATAGGAAGGATATCCTGTGGAATGTTTCCTGTATTAGATATTAATTCCATCTCTTTATGGCCTCCTGCATCCTCCCAAGAGGTAAAATCTTATATGTAACCATTGAAGAATAATAAGACTCCAGGAAAGGACTTCCTGCCAAACTGAAAATTTCAAGAGCAATGAGGATTGCCTTGCTATCGGCAGCTTGTACCGCAAAGGTTGAAAATGTAACAGTATAGTCCCAGTATTTTAAAAAGGAAATCAGAAGGGTCCCATGATTTATACATCAATCACCCTCATTGATAGATGAGCCTAAATTTATACAGCACATCTCCTTCAAAGATTAGAGCAGGCAGGCTTTGGGACAGGAACCCTTGATAATTACTCCATTTGATAATTTAATACACAGCAAAGGCTCATACTGCTTTTATTGACTTCATTGCTGCTTCTGATTCTGTTTATAGATTTCTGGGGATAAATTGTTTAAAAACAAATCTTGATTTGAAGCTATTATGTTCAATCAGACTGCTTTACACAGAAACACATTTAAAGTTTTGAAAAGACTGAAATTCTGTTCCTACATGTGAGATTCCTATATACAAAGGAGTCTGACCAGACCTTATCTTCGTTCAATTTATTGAACTAAGTTTGCATAGCCAAAATTTTGATATGCTTAACATTATGACTAGACCTGTGAAGATATCATTTTGTGCCAATGGTGTGATTTTATTTTCAACATCATAAGCTGGTATGAGATTACTGAGAAGTTTGTACAGAAAATTATCTAGTCATTAACAGTGCTAGATCCAAGGTAGTAGTCTTGTTGCTGTTTAGTCATTTAGTCGTGTCCAACTCTTCGTGACCCCATGGACCAGAGCACGCCAGGCACTCCTGTCTTCCACTGCCTCCCCCAGTTTGGTCAAACTCATGCTGGTAGCTTCGAGAACAATGTCCAACCATCTCATCCTCTGTCGTCCCCTTCTCCTTGTACCCTCCATCTTTCCCAGCATCAGGGTCTTTTCCAGGGAGTCTTCTCTTCTCATGAGGTGGCCAAAGTATTGGAGTCTCAGCTTCAGGCTCTGTCCTTCCAGTGAGCACTCAGGGCTGATTTCCTTAAGAATGGTTAGGTTTGATCTTCTTGCAGTCCATGGGACTCTCAAGAGTCTCCTCCAGCACCATAATTCAAAAGCATCAATTCTTTGGCGATCAGCCTTCTTTATGGTCCAGCTCTCACTTCCATACATCACTACCGGGAAGACCATGGCTTTAACTATACGGACCTTTGTCGGCAAGGTGATATCTCTGCTTTTTAAGATTCTGTCTAGGTTTGTCATTGCTTTTCTCCCAAGAAGCAGGCGTCTTTTAATTTTGTGACTATACATCAATTTCGCAGTAGTCTTAGGTAAGTGAAAAATGTTGCACAACTAGTACATAGACTCTAAAGAAATAGAGCAAGTAAAATCATATTATCTAGGTATAGTCTTTCCCTCTCCAAGATATTGGGCTCTACAAATAAAGAAATATGTGACAGAAAAATCAACCTTTCTGTTATAAGGCACTAATGAGAAGTGCATATGCCAAAGGCTGGATTTTGAACCTAGATTATATTTTTAGAATTTCTATTACAGGTCAAGACTTGCCAAAAGAGCAGAAGAAATTATTTATGTACACTACAATGGTGGCTAGGATATTACTAGCCCCAAAATGGAAAGACGATAAGATACCAACAAAAGAAGAATGGCAAGAAAAATTGACGGAATACGCTGAAATGGCGAAGCTAACTGGAAAACTTAGAGACAAAGACAATAGAGATTTCAAAAAATATTGGGAACAGTTTATGCTGTACCTACAGAAATATTGTAAAGAGGTGGACTCACTAGCAGGGTTTGAGTAAACACTTACAACTAAGAAAACAAACACACAAGTTAAGATGTAATAATTAGAAAATAACAAAGTGTAAGATGTAACGTGAAAAAATATGGTACAAAAATGATAAGAATTTAATAATATTTAACTAAAATATTATAAAATTAAGATAGAATAAGATAGGCAGGAGAAGCAAATATTTAGAGAACCCGAAGAGGAAGTTGAGGGAAGTCATGGGAGAGGGGGATATTGGGATTCATATATGCTTTTTGTGATAATGATGTTTGTGTTGAATATAAAATTGTAAAACTTAATAAAATTATTTACAAAAAAATAGAATTTCTAGTTGTTTTAGCAGAAACAAGCACAACATTTTGTTGCATTTATATTTTTATGTGAAGTTTTGGATGTTTTTTAATTTGGAGTTTTTTACCTGATCAATCAATAAGAAATTATATTTTCCTCATTCATTATCCCCACCACAAACCCCCACATTTCTGGAAAAGCTGTGGCTTCATCTCTGTTAGTCCCTTCCAGTACCTAGGCCAGATAATGTTGCATGCCCTGTGCTCCTGTGCATTTGGCGAAATTTACTAGTTTCTTGGACAACTCTATCAGACAGACAGCAGAATAGAGCTAGGACAGCGAATGGAAGAGGCAAGTACAGTGGTGCCCCGCAAGACGAATGCCTCGCAAGACGAAAAACCCGCTAGACGATTTTCCCTATGGGCTTGCTTTGCAAGACGGAAACGTCTTGCGAGTCTTGCGATTTTTTTTCGCTTCCCCCCCCTTTTTCTAAGCCGCTAAGCCGCTAATAGCCTTTTAGCCGCTAAGCCGCTAAGCCTTTAATAGCCGCTAAGCCGCTAATAGCCTTTTAGCCGCTAAGCCTTTAATAGCCACTAAGCCGCTAAACCGCTAATAGCACTAATCCGCTAAGCCGCTAATAGGGTTGCTTCGCAAGACGAAAAAACCGCTAGACAAAGAGACTCGCGGAACGGATTATTTTCGTCTTGCGAGGCACCACTGTATCAGGGCAAAATTTTCCCACAAGGGCTCATTAACTGGGTATGAAAACCATCCCTTTTTTTGCTGCCAAGTGAAAATATATGAGCAAGTCCACGCCCCCTTTTGACACAGCTTTACCTGTTATGGCCAGCTGGGTCACAAAGAAAGTCATCCTGGATTTCCTCTTCCTCCTCCAGGTGGAGAGCAAAACAATGGAGTTCCCAACAACCGTTATGACGAAAAGAATCCAAAGGGTAACCAGCTGTTCTGTCTGCAGGGAAAGAAAATACTATGGTAAATGGATGGATCCAGTTGTAGCAGATGCTGAGCTGCAGTTAAGCACATTACCCAAGTGGCAGAAAGATGCGGCGGTAAAACTTGTGCTTGATTAATTCTGTATTTAAAAGCCTTAGTCATTTAAAGCCAAAATTAACCTTCTTTTTTCTGTATAATTTTTTACATCTTACATTTTAGAATATTCATTTAAACAACCTTAAAATATCAATGACTTCCCTTCTTCTCTTTCCATAGTTCATTTTGCATAACATAAATCCCTGCATATTTTATATAATCTAAACCATTCAGTATTCCACTATTACATCCATCAAAACTTATTTACACTTGAATTTATCTTCACGCTGCCCACGTTTTCTAATGTACACAATTTTCCCCCATATATTCAATAAACATTTTCCAATCTTCTCTAAACGTATGTTCTTCTTGTTCTCTTGTTCTATATGTTAGGTCCACAAGCTGTGCATATTCCATCAGTTTAAGTTGCCATTCTTCTTTAGTTGGAACCTCACTCGTTTTCCATTTGGGGGCTAACAAAACACGGGCCGCATTAGTGGCATACATAAATAACCTTTTTTGACACCTGGGAATTTCCGTCTGAATTTCCCCAACAAAAAGGACTCTGTTTTGTTTTGTTTTGGAAAAGTACTTTAAAACACTTTTGTTCAATTCATTATGAATTATTTCCCACAAAATTAACCTTCTTATACTATAAGAAGGCAGCTTCTTAAAAAGCAGAGACATCAACTTGCCAACAAAGGTCCATACAGTGGTACCTCGGGTTAAGTACTTAATTCATTCTGGAGGTCCGTTCTTAACCTGAAACTGTTCTTAACCTGAAGCACCACTTTAGCTAATGGGGCCTCCTGCTGCCGCTGCACCGCCAGAGCATGATTTCTGTTCTCATCCTGAAGCAAAGTTCTTAACCTGAAGCACTATTTCTGGGTTAGCAGAGTCTGTAACCTGAAGCGTATGTAACCTGAAGCGTATGTAACCCAAGGTACCATTGTATAGTTAAAGCCATGGTTTCCCCAGTAGTGATGTATGGAAGTGAGAGCTGGACCATAAAGAAGGCTGATCGCCGAAGAATTGATGCTTTTGAATTATGGTGCTGGAGGAGACTCTTGAGAGTCCCATGGACTGCAAGAAGATCAAACCTCTCCATTCTGAAGGAAATCAGCCCTGAGTGCTCACAGGAAAGGACAGATCCTGAAGCTGAGGCTCCAATACTTGGGCCACCTCATGAGAAGAGAAGACTCCCTGGAAAAGACCCTGATGTTGGAAAATATTGAGGGCACAAGAAGAAGGGGACGACAGAGGACGAGATGGTGGGACAGTGTTCTCGAAGCTACGAACATGAGTTTGACCAAACTGCAGGAGGCAGTGGAAGACAGGAGTGCCTGGTGTGCTCTGGTCCATGGGGTCATGAAGAGTCGGATATGACTAAACAACTAAACAACAACATACTATATAGGGATGCTTTCTAGCAACACAAATGTATTGGCGGTGCTTTTTAATTGCTTTAATTGCTGTATTGTGAGCTAAAATAGGCCATTCCTGTATTCTGGGCATCACATCCCAAAATACACCATTGCCAAAGGCAAGGATACTGCTGGAGATGTGTTGCACACAGAAATGTACGGAAAAGTGTCCCCAATGCTTTTTCATGGTGACACTGACTGAAATTAAGGTGTTTTTTTTTAAAAAAAAGTAACAAAAAATGCTAAACTGATTCATGATTTCTACAACTTTTTGAATTGCAAGTCATAACTTAATTTGTAGTAATTTATTTCAATAGTTCTTTTAGTAGCTGTGGGGCTTTACAGTTCTTCTAAGAATGCTACGAGCAGTTAATAATAATAAATATAAGTAATAAATGATGGGTTTTAATACATACTAACAACAGGTAGTATTTTTTTATTGATGTGATTATTAGTAGTACCATTTATTTATTTCCCCCCAGATGTGCATATCCCAAAGGCTGCCTATAATGGGAAACACTGGATTTGGCGCTTCAATCCATATCCTATGCAGAGGACCATACTACACGTCACCTTTTCCCTTCTCATTTTCTGCTTGCCTAATAGGTGATGAGCAGCTGCCTGCATGAGAGCCATAAACGGCCTCCTTGCATGAACATTGTCCTGGCCAGAGTCACCAGACCCTGTCCTGGAAGCTGGAGGTGAAACTTGGGTGAACACAAGAACTGGTACCTTGGGTGCAGTAAACAGTTCTGTTCTGTTGCGGGCTCCTCAGCCTTTTGATGTTTACACTTGCCCTAGTCCATCCTAGCAGGAAGGGGTGTGTGGTGAGGGTGGGCCACCCCGGGTGACAAAATGCCTGGTGGCACTCACCGTGGGGCCCGCAGCATGCCCGAGCCACGCGTCTCTCCTGGGAGTGACGCGATGGCTTGGGTGCCCGCAGGGTCTGCGCTGCCCCAAACAGTCTGCCCGCCACCTTCCCGTCAGCTGTAGGGCGGCTGAGTGGGGGGAGGCAGGCAGACTCCTCAGAGGCCCCGCGGAGCGTCCTGCCCCGGCTGGCCCCACCCCTGGGCGCACGGCACACGCGCCAACTCAAGTGCCTGATTGACTTGTTCCGCCACTGCATCCTAGTACCCGTTGCCTTGTGGGACAACTTTGAGAGAAATAATAATAATAATAATAATAATAATAATAATAATAATAATTTATTATTTATTCCCCAGCCACTCTGGGCGGCTCCCAACAGAATATTAAAATACAATAGTCTATTAAACATTAAAACATTAAAAGCTTCCCTAAACAGGGCTGCCTTCAGATGTCTTCTAAAAGTCTGGTAGTTGTTCTTCTGTTTGACATCTGCTGGGAGGGTGCCACCACCGAAAAGGCAAACCCTTCACAGGGGTCAGCATGGGGGTCGTTTAACTGGCCCACAAGCCACCCCCGAACCAAGCTGCCCACTCGGCAAGTCCCTGCATGCTGTGCTAAACCGGTGCGGCGTGGGGACTCACTTCCACAGCACCAGAAATTGCCGGAAATCGTAGGCGCGCATGCGCAATCCGGCCCACAGAGGGATCTCCGCTGGAGTGAACAGGCCGACCCCTGCCCTAGGTAGTTGGATGGTGCCTTGTACACCTGCAGCCAAGCTGGCGCCAAACGTCCTGCTCTGCTTTCCTTTGGACCACATCAGAAAGGCTGAGAGGGAAGTCTTGTTGACTGGGCAGCACAGGACTTCCAGACACACTGCCCAGGCTTGTGCCTTGAAGAATGCCACCAATGCAGCAAAAGTAAGGCAGGAAGCAGCAGTTGTGGTTTACCGGTTTCTGCAGCCACAGCAGGTGCTGTGATTTCCCAGTGGTTTGACTTCACCCCCAATGGAGGCACACTCCATTGTCTCATGAGACAAATGGATGCCATCAAAAAAGTCCACCCAGAAACATGCCAAACACGTTGGTTATCCATACTCCTTTTCTGTGTGTGTAGAAGAGCTCCACAGCTAAAGCACAAACATGAAACCTAAGTCCTAGTTTTGGAACCTGTTCCAAGTTCCCTGTTCCAAGTCCAAGATTCTTCCACAAGTTCATCCAATGGGAGAAAGCTTCTCTGTCCGCACAGTGCTACATGCACAGACTTTGGTAAGACTTATCTGTTGGTGCTCACCATTAAAGCTCTAAATGGTCTTGGCCCAGTATACCTAAAGGAGCGTCTCCAGCCCCATCGTTCTACCCGGACACTGAGCTCCAGTGCCGAGGGCCTTCTGGCTGTTCCCTCCCTGTGAGAAGTGAGGTTACAGGGAACCAGGCAGAGGGCCTTCTCGGTAGTGGCACCCACCCTGTGGAACGCCCTCCCATCAGATGCCAAGGAAATAAGCAACTATCCTACTTTTGAAAGACATCTGAAGGCAGCCCTGTTTAGGGAAGTTTTTAATGTTTAATGCTGTATTGTGTTTTTAATATTCGATTGGGAGCCGCCCAGAGTGGCTGGGGAAACCCAGCCAGATGGGCGGGGTATAAATAATAAATTATTGTTATTATTATCTGGGAATTATAGCATGTGTATTCACATTACTATGCAAATGTATAATGTCCAGTGAGTTGCATTTTCATTCCCCATGTGTGGGTTATGGAAATGCAATCACTGTTTGGCCTGTTTTCATCTTAAAAGGGAGTATGACCATGAAGAATAACATAATCAGCCCCTGGGCACAAACTCCAGCTTCAGGGCTATTGAACACTAAGCACCACAGCATAAATATGCAGGCTGAACAAATCTGTTTTCGTGGTGACAATGAAAACTTTTACACTCACCTTTCAATCCATGTTTTGCTTTTAAAAAGTAGCCATGTGTGCATGAAATTTCCCCAAGCCCCAAAACACTCCTTGTGTATAATCACTATTCCCATCCATATGGCTGGCTCAACGGTTGTCTGTTTGTCTTGCATATTATTATGACTGTTTGCTCCTCCATGAGTTGATCTCCTCCCTGCCCTGGCAGCACATTAAATCAGCATAAGAATAATCTTTCCAACATCAAAAATATCAAACCCGTGTAATTATATTTTTGCAAGAACTGGAGAAAATAAAACGATATTTTCACTTGACAAAAGAATCAATTTATTTTGTGGCAACAACTGTCTCTTGTGGATAAGATCGCTCTTATTTATGCTACCACTTCCAAGGAAAGACTTTGCTGGTACATCTACAATGCTTCACGCTTCATTCATTTTCTTAGGAGGATATGTGCTATTTTATTATGGCTGAAACAAAGTGCTTTATCCTGTGATTTAGCCTGGTGCAATCAGTGGGGCCAGAATTTTGAATTTTGTGCATTTTCTGGCCATTATGAAGACTCCCCAACAGTCCTTGGGATATGTGCATATATTGACAACATTTTATACACTATCTGGACGATGTCACATTCTCCAGTCAGTTTGAAGAGTCTCCAAGAAATACTGTTTTGTCTTTCTTTCCTCTTTCCTAATGTTACAAGGTCTGCAGCA